CAATATAAGAATAGATCTGAAGCCATCAGAGAGTGTCCAAAAGAGGACAAAGAGATGGGGAAGGGCCTTGATTTGAAGGCGTGGGAGGACACTGAGGGCACTTGGTGTGTTCAGCTGGAGCAGAGGAGACTGAGGGGAGACCTCAGTGCAGTTCCAATTCCTGGGCAGGGGCAGAGGAGGGGCAGGGACTGAGCTCTGCTCTGGGGGAGCAGGGACAGCAGCCAGGGAATGGCTGGAGCTGTGTCAGGGCAGGCTCAGGTTGGATCTCAGGCAAAGGTTCTTCCCCCAGAGGCTGGTTGGGCACTGCCCAGGCTCCCCAGGGCAGTGGGCACAGCCCCAAGGCTGCCAGAGCTCCAGGAGGGTTTGGCTGATCCTCTGGGGCACAGGGGGTGGCTCTTGGGGCTGGGCCTGTGCAGGGCTGAGGGTTGGACTCCATGAGCCTTGGGGTCCCTTCCAGCTCAGCATATTCTGGGATTCTGTGAAATATGGACAGTGCTGGGACAAACCTTTTTCCACCTCAGTGGTTGATTTAGGTCTGTTTTTCTCTAAAATCACTGCTGTGTTACCGTGCTGTGAATTTTGCTCCTCAGGTGCAGCTGAGGCCCTGCCTGCAGTGGCTTCACGGGGTGTATTTGCATAGGGCTTGTTGAGCTGTGTGTGGTGAGCCAGACTCCCACACATGCAAAATGTCCCCTCCATGACCTGGGCTGTCTCTGCAAACCAACCTGGCTGGGACCATCCTCTCCCCAGAGCTGCTTACAGACCTCCTCAGCCTGCAGCCCCAGGATGAGACAGCCTTGCTGTCAGAAAGTTGCCCTATTATCTGTTTTTAACATTTTGGCAGCCTGACCCCCGTTGTGGTTCATCTGTCTTTGTTCAGCTTCCCCAGTGCCCTTCCCTCTGCTCCAGGCCACTCCCTGAGCTCACAGCCAGCAGGAGCAGTGGGTTCTTCAGGGCAGTGACTTATTCAGACACATCCTCACCCTCCAACTTCACAGTACCTGGGGCAACTCTGACACCAGTAAATGAAAGGAGCCAGGATCAAATTCCTGACCCTGGGGACCAGTGACACGGAAGGAGCTCACTCCATCTGAGTGTCTGGCCCTTGGGAGTGCTCTCTGCCCTTCATCTTGAAGCAAGATTTGTTTCTCACATAGAAAAATAATCTTTATAAAAATATATTCTTGTGTCTGCCTGGGCTTTGCATTTTACCTCCACTGTCTGTCCATGGGCTGGTTGGCTTTTGCACAAGGCAGATGGAGAAGGGAATGGCTAGAGGGCAGCCAAAATAAACCACAGGGAGAGTGTCCAGACATGGTGTGTGCATCCATGTGTGCATCCATGGGCTGTGTGTGCATCCATGTGTACATCCATGGGCTGTGTGTGCATCCATGGGCTGTGTGTGCATCTCTGAGCTGTGTGTGCATCCATGGACTGTGTGTGCATCCCTGAGCTGTGTGTGCATCCATGGGCTGTGTGTGCATCCATGGAGTGATGTGTGTGCATCCATGCGTGCATCCATGTGTACATCCATGGACTGTGTGTGCATCCATGTGTGCATCCATGGGCTGTGTGTGTGCATCCATAGGCTGTGTGTGCATCCCTGAGCTGTGTGTGCATCCATGGGTTGTGTGTGCATCCATGGAGTGATGTGTGTACCCATGGGATGGTTTGTGCATCCCTGGGCTGTGTGTGCATCCCTGGAATGATGTGTACATCCCTGGAATGATGTGTGCATCCATGGGCTGTGTGTGCATCCACGGAGGAAAGGCAAGACTTTCCTTGAGGAAGAGCTCAGCACTAAGTCGGGGGAGGGTCAAGGGGAGCCTTTTTCAGCTGAGCTTTCCAAAGCCTGAGAGCAGGCCTGTGGTACTGCCTGGCCCCTCCTTCCCCACTGCCTCACCCTGCAATCAGGAGCTTGAGCAGGAATCAGAAACTCCAGCTGAACTGGAGTTGTCCCTTCTTTTTTTCACTCCTGTGGTTTTAAACTCTGTGGAAACATTTAGGAAGGTTTCTCAACACATGGGTTTAACCAAAGTCTCTGCAGGGGAACACAGGGAAAGGCAATTCCTGCCTGGGCTGCCTGCAAGGCACATTACCTGGGATGAGGTCACCAGCTCCCCAAGAGCTGCCTTCCCACTCTGGCTTTGGCAGGTCTGGAGTGTTCAGTCCAGATGAATTTTGAGAGAATCATTGTGCAGGTGTGGTTTTAAAATATTAAAGAATTGCTTTCTTGCACTGCTGAATGTGTGAGAAGGGGCAGCAGCAGGGATTCCTACAAACCCATGGAGATGTGGTGGTGATGCTCAGAATCCCTCCTCACAGTCACAAGGGGTTGAATAGTTCTTGAGGGTCATCTTAGACATTGCTAAAGAAAGTGGTTTTCTGGAGTTTTGTTTACAAGAAAACAGGATTCGTTTTATTATAAATACATATTTATTATGGATTTAATTTATTATATTTATTATATATATTCTATTATAATATTTATATAATCTAATTATACATAACAGATTTGTTATATATCAATAAAATATGTAAATATAATATATTTATTACTTGTTAAATAAATATATAATAAATATATATAATATATATTAATATATAATATGTATTTTATATGATTAATTATATATAACTATATATGTATTAAATATATTTTTATATTTATTATATAAGATATAATAAATTATTGTATGTTTATTATATATATATAATATATATTTTATATGTATTATATAAATATATTCTATATTTATTCTATGACAACCCCTGTGGAACATGTGAGTGTGTTGGCGTGCCCTGCCTGTCTAGAGGAGCTTGGATTCAAATCCTGGTTGGGCTGACTGGTGGAAATGCAGCAGCCATGAGCTGGCCCAGGAGCACAGGGGAGGCTGTGTGAGAGCTGGGTCTGCCTGCATGGGGAAAAACTGAGTTTTGAGTTCCAAGGCAGGCTGACACTGCCTTGTGTCCTGTGGTTTGGGAGTGGGAGCAGGATGGAGGGAGCTCTGGTGGTGCCTTTCTGCTGCTGCTGCTCCTCAGCCTGCACAGGGCTCACTGCTTTGCTTCCCCTTCCAGTTTTGATGAGGATATTGCTGGGAATATTTAGCTCTAAAATATGCAGATTTTGCAATAATTTCCTTGTTCTGACTCAAGGGCTTTTCTGGAAAACCTCTTTGAAGTTATGAAATCCATTCATTAACCCTTTCCTCGAGCCTTGCTGGCCGAGGGCAGGGCTGGGTTTGTTCATCTGATTTCCTCGGGGGGCCCTTTGCTGGAAGGGTGAGAAGAAAGCTGCTGAAACCACATAGGCTCCAAGTAAAAGTGAATAAGCTCAGCATTCAATCATTCTATCCCAGACTTTTTAATGAGCAGAGAAAGTCTCCTGGATGTCTTCCCATCTGTTCCTAGTTAGATGGATCCCTGTTTATCTCCGTGGGTCTCTCCCTTTCCGTGGTATCCGTGGGCCCCACAGACATTCATGGATGACTCACATCACATCTGGGGAAGGAGGAAGTGTCCCCTTTTTAGCAACAGGGACTCACACAGACCGTAAATGAGGTGACTTGCCCAGTTTCACACAGGAAATGTGTAACCAAAGTGGGAATTGAACCCAGGTCACTTGAATTTAGCAATGGATTGTCTCCCCCCCCCAGCAAGGCCGCAGCAGCTCAGCAGATGTTGCACGTGTTGGAGTCAAACATGTGAATCACAGAGTGGTTTGAGTTGGGAGGGACCTTAAAGCCCATCCCATTCCACCCCCTGCCATGGGCAGGGACACCTTCCACTAGCCCAGGTTGCTCCAAGCCCCATCCAACCTGGCCTTGGACACTTCCAGGGATCCAGGGGCAGCCACAGCTTCTCTGGGCAACCTGGGCCAGGGCCTCCCCACCCTCACACACAACAATTCCTTCCCGATATCCCATCTAACTCTGCCCTCTGGCAGTGGGAAGCCATTCCCTGTGTCCTGTCCCTCCATCCCTTGTCCCCAGTCCCTCTCCAGCTCTCCTGGAGCCCCTTTAGGCTCTGCAAGGGGCTCTCAGCTCTCCCTGGAGCCTTCTCTTCTCCAGGGGAACCCCCCCAGCTCTCCCAGCCCATCCTCACAGGAGAGGTGTTGGGAGGTGTCGGTTGGTTGTGTTAGGAGGTGTTGGTTGGTTGTGTTAGGAGGTGTGAGTTAGTTGTTCATCTTTTTAAGAGGTTTGTGGAAGGTAAATGTGGAGCAAATGAGTGATTCACTTAAAACTGAAGCTGCTCTAAATGTTAAACTCGAGACTAAGCAGGAGCTTTGGAGGAAGGGCTGTGGCACCTGGGTGCTGATCTGGGTGCCCAGTCCCTGAGCAGACCTGAAAGCTGTGCCAGGGTGTGGAGCTTTTACTTTGTCCACATTGCAGCTGCCTGTGCTGACACCAGCCAGGCTCTGGTGCCCTGGCAGCCTGGGCCAGGAGGAGGGACACTGCTCCAGGAGAAAAACAGGCTCCAGGAGGAGAGACACCTGGTCCAGGAGAAAAACCTGGTCCAGGAGGAGGGATATCTGCTCCAGGAGAAAAATATGGTCCAGGAGGAGAGACACCTGGTCCAGGAGAAAAACCTGGTCCAGGAGGAAGAGTGCCTGGTCCAGGGGAAGGAATACCTGCTCCAGGAGGAATAAAACCTCATCCAAGAGGAGGGATACCTGCTCCGAGAGAGGGAATACTTGGTCCAGGAGGACAGACACCTGGTCCAGGAGGAGAGATCCCTGGTCCAGGGGAAGGAATAGCTGATCCACGAGGGGGACCATCCCCCAGAGATGTGTTTTCTGGGAGCGTGCACGTCACCCTCAGGGTAAACACGCTGAGGGAGGTCCCCAAGGGCTCTCCAGCTGTTGGGGCTGAGTTTGTGTTGCTGTTTTGGTTACCAGGCAATCCTCCCCATCAGGGCACCTGCTCTAAGTCCTGTGTGCTCACTGCTGAGATGGCCTTTTAACATACACACCAGATTCCAACGTGCTCTTTCTTTTCCAGACTGAACTAAACCGTGGGCAAATAAAAGAGAGAGACTCTCAAAATTCCAGACTCCCAAGTCCACTGTGAGTAATCTCTGTTTTTTCCCTCCTGCCTTACCCTGGCTGTGTTCATTGCCCTTTGCAGTGGATTCCACCTGGGAACAGGACTTGTTTTTCTGTTTGTCCACTTTACTTAGCTGTTTCTTCAATATATTTGAGAAACTTCTGCCTTGTGGGTGCTGCCAAAGCATTTTCATGGTACTGAGTCGAGTTACAAGAGGTAATTAGAGGAGATCTGCTGCTGCTGCCTGCTCTTTGCATTATAAATCCCTCTCAGTCATCAGTCACTTTATTTATGGGCACTGCCCTTTTGTTCAAAGCTAATTTGGGATCTGGTTGCAAAGACCATGACCCCCAGGTAGCAGCAAACCCTACACCCTGTGCTTGGCCCAGCACCTCATCTGCTTTTAGACATGGACTTGCAGGTTTTTTGTAAGGAAACTGTGAGCTCCTGACAGAAGGGATCTGTTTTCCCACAGCTGTGTCTCTCCAGATTGATTTAAATTAAAAAGGGGTAAATGCTGAATGTGTTTTTTCCATGGGCAGGATATTTTAGTGGCTGCCAGTAAAGGAGGAGCTGTACCTGTCCCTCAGCAAGAATTTGTGCTGTGCTGAGTTCACTGCACAAGTGAGATTTTAAAGTATATTTAACATATATTTAATCGTATACGTATTGTATTTAACATGTGTCAAATATGTTGGCCATTGGTTAAATTTGTCTAAAATTTGACTTAAAAGTTATCATGGGCAATAAACAGGGTGGATTTTCTAGTAACACACCAGGCACCACATAAGCCTTAAAACCAGGTTAAAATTTGGTGTGTGGAGGAAAATGCTGTTATGGTTGGAATGGTGCAGAAAAGGCAGAGCTGTAATAGCTTCCCACTAATCCCACTGGATCCTGATCTGGCTGGGACAGGACCAGGCAGCAGAGAAAATCCCCCCCTTTGCTTGAGTATCACATACAAGAGGATTTTGCCACCAGCAAGATTTAAGGATCTCCATTAATGAGATGTTTCAGTGTCCTGGAAACAAAAGGCAAGTGAGAGAAAGCCAAGCACTGCAGTTTTCCACATGTCACTTGACAGGAATGAATTCTGGAGGCCAACACAGTGTAGAGAAAGCCCTGATGTGTTTTCAGAGCTGTTCCCACCTGGAGCTCAGGAGTCAGGCACAGACTCTTCCCATTTATCAGGGTCTCAAATCCCAGATCTGATGGGAAAGAGCTTGTTTGGGGGCATGGCTGCATAAATGATAGTCCCAGGCAGAGGGACCAGCCTAAGGTTTGCAATGGTTAGGAGAACTCCTTTAGGAGGACTTGGGTGAGGATCAGAGCTGGGAAGGACTGTGTGCCTGGGCCTGCTTGCAGGAATCCATTACAACCATAATAAGGTAATTCAGAACACCAACAGCTGTGACTTCCTAAAAGAACATTTGTCTGAGGATTTTTCTAAGCATTTTATCTCAGGCTTTGGGGTAAAATTCTAGTCCCATTACAATCAGAAGGCATCCTGTCCCTGATTCCTTCCAGCAGGGTGGCAGCCTTCGTTTCCACCCTGGGGATGGAACAGTTCCTGGTCCTGCTCGCTCCACTGCATTTCAAGTGAAACCCAAAAAAATGATGTTTGAATGGAAATAAGAGCTGGAATCCCCAGTTTTAGTGCCTGTGCTTTGGATTCAGCCACAGACATGCAATGGGAGCAGCTGGAAACCATGTGCCATGTAATCCATGGGACTTGTTCCTTAAAGCTCTGGCACAAGGCTGGAGCTCTGCTCTTGTACTGAGAGAGCAGAGCACGTGGGAAGGAAAGGGAGAGCAAAAAGAGTGGAGAATTGTAAACTCACAGAGTCTCCAGAGTTGGAAGGACACAAATATTATCCAGCCCAACTCCTGGCCCTGCACAGATACCCCAACAATCCCACCCTGTCCCTCAGAGCGTTGTCCAAACCCTCCTGGAGCTCTGGCAGCCTTGGGGC